CCATGGCTCATTCTATCCCAAGTACCAGCAGTTCAGTTCCATACCTGTTTACCAGCAGTTCAGTCCCAAAACTGAGTACCAGCAGGTTCACTTCCTTTTCCACCAGAAAGTGCAACATCTATCCCATACCCACTATTTCTATACCATATACTATATGATTCTAGAAAAACAAGAAAAATCATTCTCGAATAATCAAATCAATTATCAATACAAAATTACAAATAGAAAAAAAAAATTCCTTTGTATTGATTGATCAATACAGTCTATTAACAATGTGTATTCTAAAGGCTGGGGGACTCAAAGCTGCACATCCGCTTTGAATCTAAAGTCCATCCGATCAATGAAAACATTGAAAAAGTAAATAACAGTCGTAGAAGTGAATGTACCATTTCTACCTTCTATTCTCTTACCTATATTCTCCATTTCATTTCAACTTCATAATTCCGAAATCTCTTTGCCTACGTGAGACGTATATCCAAATACCCACTCGTATACTTCTCTCTCCAGAAAGGCTTGGGGGGGGGGCTCAATGCCGCACATTTTCTCTCTTATATCTAAAAGATTCTAAATTCTGTGTGACCAATGGAAAGTAACTACCTTCTCGCCGTTCTATTCTCTTAACCTATATTCTCCATCTAATTTCAACAACTTCATATTTCCCAAGTCTCTTCGCCTACATGACACCAGAATGTACACAGTCTCCCTTCTATTCTGTTTGCCTATAGATTTCAGAAGGATGTAGTTGAGATCTCAACTACATCCTTCGGAAACCTCTTTAGTAGCCTTTACCCATGTGGCCCTAACCCTCACGAACCGCTGGCATAGTTTTAAACCACAAGTACACGGCCCCAGCCTTCCAGTCCGAAACTTGTTGCCACAAGCAAACGAGGCCGAAACGTCAATCGCTGTGCCCGCCGTTGATAATTTCGATACTCGGCCCTGTTTTCATTTTGCACCTCCAGAATTTGAGGTGTCAGACCCGCGGCCCAAGTGCCGACGTACTGGCGGTTTAACGCATGTTATTGTATACTTCATTAGACAGCAGTATATAAGCTGTGCCTCATAAGTGAACAATTACTAAAAGGCTGCTCAGCAATATCACTCTTGATCTTCACAAACAATCCATTTTGTTTAGGACCAAGGGTATGATTAATTACCACAATGCCACTCACACTCCTTGTCACCTCCGTCGTAGTCTAGTCTGGTTAGGATACCTGGCTCTCACCCAGGCGACCCGGGTTCGAGTCCCGGCGACGGAAAGGAAGTGGGGGCACTGGTGGTCTAGTGGTAGAATAGCACCCTGCCACGGTGCAGACCCGGGTTCGATTCCCGGCCAGTGCAAGAGCCACTCTTTTAGCCAGGCTGACTATGTTGCGAGAGCCACTCTTTTTTTTTCTTTTTTTTTTGTGATTCTGTCGAATCAGGGATTGGAAATCAGTCAGGGGCATTCACAATGTTGCGAGAGCAACTCTTTTAGCTGGGCTGATTCTGTCGAATCACCGATTAGAAATCAGTCAGGGGCATTCACAAACTGTAGGTCCCAGACAGCCCACAAAAATATTGGCACTGGTGGTCTAGTGGTAGAATAGCACCCTGCCACGGTGCAGACCCGGGTTCGATTCCCGGCCAGTGCACAGCCGTCCCCTTTTATTATATGTTGGATCGAAAGGATGAATCGAGGACAAGAAATCAGGCAGCTGCTACAGATGACAACAACATACTGTAGGACAATCCAATTGGGTCAAAAGGATGAATCAAGGACCAGAAATCAGGCAGGTGATGCAGATTACAACAGTGTACCCGTGCTTCAAAAGCCATGCACCTCTCTGGTAGTTGGATGTGTAATACACATCAGAACTGCCATTGGATAACGTGCCTTTTTATGCTTCATCAAATCGCCACAACCATGGCACCATGGCTACGAATCAAGCTCAGCTGCTACATCCTCCATCGCAGAACACCAACAACACAAGTACCGCCTCCTCTCCCCCATCAGCCCTCTCTTCCACCACACTGTAGTCTGGTGAGAACACATGACTCTCCCACCCACAAGACCCAAGTTGGAGTCCTAGCAAACCGATTGCAAGTGTCCATCCACCACTGGTCTTGCCGTAAAACAGCACCCTGCAGAAATGCAGACCGGCTTTATATCCTGATCCGGCCAGAAACATGCATTACACTCATTATAATGATTAATGCTCCCAAGGGATCATAATGAGCTATATCGCGCTGTCCATTTCTGACTCCATGGAATCAATTGCAGAGCTCGATCACTTGGTTTCACGGAACTTTCACCAACATTCAACTCACCTTATATACGAAACCCCACAGAAATTCATAACATCTGGACCTTCCTTCTGCTTGGGTGTGAAACCGTTTATATTGAGCTCACATTCACCAGCTGCCACACATGTGCACGCATCCATACCAAGCAGGCTCTTCCAATGAAGAACCTGAACATTCCCACTCACCTTATATACGGAACCCCACAGAAATTCATAGCATCTAGACCTTCCTTCTGCTTGGGTGTGAAACCGTTTATATTGAACTCACATTCACCAGCTGCCACACATGTGCGCGCGTCCATACCAACCAGGCTCTTCCAACGAAGGATCTGAGAAGAATCGAAATTGGTTACGGCACAAGGCTTTGTTTCATTATATGATCAGGTCTCCTTTAAATCAACCTCAGCTGATACCTCCATTGCTCTGAGACAATCAGCTAATGAAGAAGGCTTCGTTTCATTTCATAATGAGAGTTCAGGTTCAAATGAACCTTACACACCATCTCCGTCGTAGTCTAGTCTGGTTAGGATACCTGGCTCTCACCCAGGCGACCCGGGTTCGAGTCCCGGCGACGGAATTCAAAAGCACTGGTGGTCTAGTGGTAGAATAGCACCCTGCCACGGTGCAGACCCGGGTTCGATTCCCGGCCAGTGCACTTGTTCTTTTTTATTGTTTAGTAAATATAAAATCCATTGCTCTGTTCTCTCAAGACTCTTCCCTTCTTCCCTTCGGAGGCCACCGAAGCCTCTCTAACACAGATTGAACAACAGATCGGCTTTCCAACACAACCCTTGATTGCTCTGACACAATTGATTAAACCACCCGGAAACAGAATTGCAAAGCACTGGTGGTCTAGTGGTAGAATAGCACCCTGCCACGGTGCAGACCCGGGTTCGATTCCCGGCCAGTGCACTTGTTATTTATTATTGTTCAGTAATATAAAATGCGTTGCTCTGTTCTCTCAAGACCTTCCTTCGGAGACAAGTTCGGGCAACCGAAGCCTCTCTAGCACAGATTGAACAGCGGATGGGCTTTCCAACACACCCGTTGATTGCTCTGAGTAAATTGGTTAAACCACCAGTACATTCCCCAGCCATTTTTCTCCAATCCGGCATGCATGCAGCCGCACATTTCGGGGGTCGGCCTACCGGGGCAAAATGGCTGGCGGAGCCAGCCAAACGAAAGCCCTCGCCGGTTCATTATTCATGACGCACAGTGTGTTTTGAGGCTTGGCAAGGGAAGGGTCAAAAGCACTGGTGGTTTAAAGTTTAAACCACCACTCTGAAATGGTTTTCACCTTTGCAGTAACAGATGCAGATCCCAGGGCTCGATCCCTAGGCCTTACCTTACCTGTGTGTACAGTACCAAGTCGACCCCTGTGTGTTTTAAACCCGTGACCTGTGTTTTGGTAGCCGACTGTTGTCTGTCGTAGGTCTGTGTAGTTGTTGGGTCTTGAAGTGTAGGTCTGTCGAGTAGGGGTCATAGCTGTGTAGGGGTCGTAGTTGTTGCAACTCTGAAAGGTCAAGGCCGTAGCTGCTACAGTCCTGAAAGGTCAAGGCCGTAGCTGCTACAGTCCCGAAAGGCCAAGTCCACAGACTTCCGGAAGGTCCGGAAGTGGCCTTTCGAGTGTTGCTCATGTTAGACCAGAGGCAAGTGGGCAAGTGGGCAGTCCAACTTAGCTTAGTCAGCGGTACCCAGTCCCAGTCTCACTTTGTCCAGTCAGCGAGTACCATGTGGGACTGTGTGCACCATGGGCCCCGTGGAAAAGGGCAGACCAGCGACCAACAGAAGTATAAATCAAGAGGCAGCATCCAGCCATTCATTCATTCTGCGTGAGCCATGCGGAAGCGCTGCCCAGGCGTCTTGTGCGAGGTGGTCTGCAGATGCCCGAAGTTGAAGTGGGCTACGAGGGAGATAGAGCAGCCATCGCTGCTAGTAGTCAGTGTTAGACGACGGCCATAGCCGCCATAGCCTAGAGATAGCTTCCAGCGTGTGTGTGTGTGTGTGTGTGTGTGTGTGTGTGTGTGTGTGTGTGTGTGTGTGTGTGTGTGTGTGTGTGTGTGTGTACGGTACAGAGTGAGAGTGCGTGGGATATCCAGGGAGGTCCAGTGTGGCGTGCGTGTAAACAGTTGTTGTGATTACAGTGTCAGACAGGTGATGTGTAGGCGCCCAGGCGCCATAGCCAATTGAAGCGAGTTTGTATCTGAACTGTGTTCTCGGCCTTAACATCTCTGAGCTTTTGAGTGAGTGCCTGGCGCCAGAGTGGATTGCCACTTGTTTGCATGCATGCTGAACGAAGAAGAAAGTGAGTCTGATTGCAACTCCCCCTGCTGAAATTAGAGTCCTGCAGAGGTATACTCGCTGACCACAGGACGAAGGGGGCAGTAAACGAAATTATGGGTACGGTAACTTTGACGACTTCTTGTGCAGCAAATTTTGATTTAAAAAACTGATAAAATGAGGGACAGATTGTGTGCTGAATCTGCTAATCTTTCAGGAAAATAGTAGGAACCTAGGCTACCAGAGTAGCCTGGGACCGCTTGCCCGGCCAGGCTTCCCCCCTTCCCCCCCTCCCAAAAAACCATTTTTTTTTCCCGATTTGGTAAAGAATTCCGGTGTGACCCTGAGACAAAATTTGCTTAGTTTATTATCTTGCATAACACAGTTTTCTGTCAGATCTTATTTGAATTGAGGATTTATTTTTTTTTGCAGGGACCTTGCCGGCCCTTGGCCAGCCGGGCCACCTGGAGCCGGTTGGTAGCCTAGATAGGAACAGAAAAAGAAGGCATTCTAGACAGCACAAAATCCGGAGACAAAATTATGCCAAAATACACATATGTTTGCTTCTATTGACCCAAGGGGCCAAAATCTTTTGTAGGTTTGATGCTCCAGGGTGTGGAAAACCCATAGGTGCTTCACAGTAACTTCAGGAGAAGTGGTTGTTTAAACCACAAGTACACGGCCCCAGCCTTGCAGTCCGAAACTTGTCGCCACAAGAAAACGAGGCCGAAACATCAAACACTGGGCGTGGCTTTGATAAATTCGATCGGCGGCCGCATTTCGTTTCGCACCTCCAGAATTTGAGGTGTCAGACCAGTGGCCCAGGTGCCCATGTACTGGTGCTTTAAGGCACACACACGGTCTAAAACAACCTCAATCAAGATCTCCGTCATAGTCTAGTCTGGTTAGGATACCTGGCTCTCACCCAGGCAACCCAGGTTCCACTCCCAGGACGGAAGTGCAACACTTGCGGTGTGGTGGCAGAATCTAGCAGCCTGCCTCCATCGTTCTCCAGTTTGGTGGCAGAATAGCACCCTGTCTCCGTCATTCTCCCATTTGGTTGACTATACCCGGCTACTTCGGTTAAGATACCTGGCTCCCACCTATTACACCTGTGTTCAAGAACCGGCAAAGAAAATGTGAGCACGGGGGGTCTACAGTGGTAGAACAGCACCCTGCCACAGTGCAGACCCAGGTTCTACTCCCCCTCTAGTGCAGTTCTTGTTTCTTCTGGTTCAGTAAACTTCCATTCACTTTTAAGATCCATCATTCTTTTTTGTTTTTTTCCGATTTATACATCCTTGCGCAGGAGCCATTCTAATCTTCTCTGTATCGTTCCAATTTTACCGGACGTCCCGAAGCCCCCCCCTCTCCCTCCCTCTAAGATCCATCATTCTATCACCTCAACACCTCCCTTTGGTGGAGACAACCATAGCTGTCAAAAACAGGCCTTAGATTGCTTTGGAAGAATTGGTCAACAAAAAAGCAACCTTTGTTGGTTAAACTAAGCCCCACTAACATCTCCGTCGTAGTCTAGTCTGGTTAGGATACCTGGCTCTCACCCAGGCGACCCGGGTTCGAGTCCCGGCGACGGAATTAAAAAGCACTGGTGGTCTAGTGGTAGAATAGCACCCTGCCACGGTGCAGACCCGGGTTCGATTCCCGGCCAGTGCAAACTTTTTTGTTTAGTGAACTTGCGTTCTGCTTTTCTGTTCTATCAACACTTGCCTTCAGAGGAGGCAACTAAAGCCTCTTCGGGATTAAATTACGGATCAACAATCAAACACAGCACTCGATTGTTTTGAAACAATTGGTTAATCTGAGATTGCTTAAATTAACCTCATTCAACACCTCCGTTGCAGTCCAGTCTGGTTAAGATACCTGGCTCTGATGAAAGCAAGATATGAGCACTGGTGGTCTAGTGGTAGAATAGCACCCTGCCACGGTGCAGACCCGGGTTCGATTCCCGGCCAGTGCAATTTGACTCTTTTACTGTTTAGAAAACCCCCGTTCCACTTGTGCAATCAGCTGTTTTGTTCTATCAACACTTTCCTTCGGAGGAGGCAAGCAATGCCTTGACGGAATTGAGGTAAGAGATGAGCTTTCAAACACAAAGCTTGATTGGTTTGAAACAGTTGGTGAAAGCACAAAGCCTCTACCAGATTGAGCTATAGATCATCTGTCAAACACAACACTCAATTGCTTTGGAACAATCAGTTGATTATGTAATCAGAGTTTGCTTAAATCAACCTCAACTAACATCTCCGTCGTAGTCTAGTCTGGTTAGGATACCTGGCTCTCACCCAGGCGACCCGGGTTCGAGTCCCGGCGACGGAATTGAAAAGCACTGGTGGTCTAGTGGTAGAATAGCACCCTGCCACGGTGCAGACCCGGGTTCGATTCCCGGCCAGTGCAATTCATCTTTTCTTACTGTTTAGAAAACCCCTGTGCCACTCATACATTCCACTGTTCTGTTCTATCGACACTTTCCTTTGGAGGAGCCAACCGAAGTCTCTACGGGATTGATCATTGAGGGATAAATCGGCTTTCGGACACAATGGTTGATTGCTTAGAATATTGGTTAAAGCAAAATGCTTGATTGCTTAGAACATTGGTTAAAGCACAAAGCCTCTACCAGACTGGGCTATGTAACACACAACACTTGATTGCTTTCAAACAATTGGTTTACACTCGAGGCGTTCTTCTTTACGTAATCACAGTTTTGATTAAATCAACCTCAGTTAACACCTCCATCGTAGTCTAGTCTGGTTAGGATACCTGGCACTCATGCAGGCGACCCGAGTTCCGAGTCCCAGCAACGGAATACAGGCACCGGGTCGAACAGCAGCCTGCCAAGGTGCAGACCGGGGTTCAATTCCACCCAGTGCAATTCATCTTTCTTACTGTTTAGAAAACCTCCATTCCACGTATACATTCAGCTTTCTGTTCTATCAACACTTTTCCTTTGCAGGACCCAACCAAAGTCTCTACGGGTTTGAGGTATAGATCAGCTTTCTAACACAACGCTTGATCGCTTTGAAAAGGTTGGTTAAAGCACAAAGCCGTTACCGCCAGCTGTTAAATTCAACACTTGATGGCTTCGGCACAATTGGTTAGAACATGGGTTCACCCGAAGCTAAGTCGAGCTCTTACCAGTTTACACGGCAAGGCCATGACGCCTCAAGCCTGGGCCGGTAGGAAACACCACAGATGGACACTATGAAGGAAAAAAACAGTTCTCGCGAGCCCTTGGAAAAAGTAACTTCATCAACTTAGGCTTACCTGATCTGGTTGTTCAAGGCACAAGGCAGTGTTTCATTGTGTCATGTGTCATGCGAGATTGGGTAAGTCAACCTCAACCAACATCTCCGTCGTAGTCTAGTCTGGTTAGGATACCTGGCTCTCACCCAGGCGACCCGGGTTCGAGTCCCGGCGACGGAATTGTAAAGCACGGGTGGTCTAGTGGTAGAATAGCACCCTGCCACGGTGCAGACCCGGGTTCGATTCCCAGCACTGCAACTTTTCTTTCTTCCATAACCTTTCATTCACTTATATGAGCCACTGCTAGCCTTCCGTTCAATAGAAGACGGCCAAAGCCTCTCGAGCGGATTGAGATAGATCAGCTGTCAAACACACCCCTTTGCTGCTTTGAACCACAGTCTCGCGCACTTCCCTCAGCATTATCACAAGAATCAAATACCGGATAGCCCTCATATTTGGGTGACCCTACCGGTAGCACAAGCATCAGGAGATTAATAGAAAACAACAACCCCTGTGGCCATTAATATAACAAAGAGGCTTGCAGTGCTATCAAGTTCTCAGGGCCAGGCCTGACTCTATCAGTTTGCCATGAAACTTGTACCTTCATGCACATGCCAGTGACCTCCTACATAACGACATTACCCCCCTTTCCTGTCACAAAATGCATTCACTGATCAGTTAGTACACCCACAAACTATTGAAATGCGCACCTGAGAATCCAGATGGAACCAGATGAACAAAAGTCCTGAATTACCTGGGGCCGGTCATTTTCACGATTATCGCCCTTTCAAAGGTGGGGGGGGGGAACAGAGAGAGAGAGAGAGGAGACAAAAGGAGTGTAAGCAACCACGATGCCCTGTGATCCCTTCCTTTCTGTTCTACGGCATCACAAGCGCTTACCAGAGGCATTATTGCAATGGAGCACGACATGCGCTGCGCCCCTCAACGACTACACGTCAGACATCCCTGCTTGGGATGATGATATAGTCTGAACTTTGTGGCGACCCGAAGGAGGGGAATAAATAATAGACAGTCACTGGAGGCAAAATTGTTCTGGAACAGGGCTTACAAGTACAGTGTAGGGTTGTTCTGGAACAGGGCTTACAAGTACAGTGTAGGGACCTGCTTTAGCTACCAAGACATCACCTGATCCTTTTTCCACAGCGTAACAGATGTTCACTAAAGGCCGGATTCGTACAGAACAGGGGTTGCGATCTCAGGATTAACACAACATCAATTAAACAAAAAGCTCCCCGCACACTGTCCCAGCAAGAGGATGAAACCAATCAGGAAAGGAAAGGTATCATCTGACCTCTCCTCCCAATTTCCAATACGCACGCCCGCATGGATCGACCGTGACCTCGACTGAGTGGTTGATCAACAAACCATAGACGCTTTTCTCCACCATAGTACGACCTGCTTGGGATCCCAACTTTCCAGGGGAGACTTTGCTTCACACAGAGGCAATGGAAAATAGTCTGCCACTGGCACTCTGGTACTAAAATAGCACCTTGCAAACGTGCCCCTGCTGATTTGAACTGATTTGAACTCTTGGTCAGTGTGCAGATACTGTTTTCCAATTCCAAGAATCAAGTGAATACTGCAGCTGTCAGTTCCAGCATGTCAAGATCAGGAATCCATACACAAAAAAGAGTTGTGGTGTATGCGATCCCAGAAGCGGGCGGAGGCCAGCTGCGCCGATGCCGATGTCCCGGCACACAACGGGCGGAGAGTCGGAATAGGTGGGGAGGGGTTCTCGTACATGTAGGGCTTAGATTAGTATTGCACTCATGGCCTGGTTATTAACAGATACATGTGAATCTGCAAATAAACTCAATGGAGGGGGTTGGGGGCGGGGGGGGGGGGAAAGGGGGGAAGGTGAGGCAGAAGAAAAAAGACGAAGGGAGGACATCTAGGACTTGAACTCGATCTAGATGATAACTTGCAATGCATCAAGAGAAGTGTACCAGAAAGGTGGGTAGAGCTGCTCAAGGACGTCACATGGAAATCTGGGAAGTGAGGGATCTTCACCCAAGACCAACCCCCAACAAAAGCATACCAATTCTCCTACAGACAGTAGATGACAGGCTAGTAGGCTACCAGTCGGTGTTCATGTCCTTTCCAATCAGCCATCAACAACAAGGGTCACCTACAATCAATAATATCAATCTCGAAGAAGCGATCTTGGACTCATTGTTGTGCAACAATGAAATGGTATGGGGAACTTTGGCCAAAGACTACTTTTTAAATGAAAACGACAGCACAAGGATCTCAAATTCAATCCAATAGAATGGGCCTGATCAAATGAGTTGCCAACTTGCCAAGCCCATTCTCAGTTGGTACACCTCTGAAGTTCTGAACTGTTGAAATACAGACCAGGTGCGGAGTTCGAACACCACTGGAAGCAGATGAGGGAAATACTATGTTTCTGAATTACCTAGGGGCGGCCAATTCCCTGATGATATCTCAAGGCCGTCGCCCTTCTAAAAACGACAGAAAGAAGGAAAAAAAAGAATGGGCCTGGCAGTCCAAAGAAGGCAGCAAGGAAAAGAACCTCAACCCCATAAACGAATTATCAGTCAAGCTACCTTCTTCACCCGAATAGAACACCCGGTAATTATCGCTGTATCTGGGCTGAAAGTTGTGCCAAATTCAGCTATAATGACCAAGCGTTCTATTTGGGTGAAGACGGTAGGCTGCAAACTTCTGCTGAAAACTTAAGACCCTATGCCAGCCATAAAAAAGAAGATCGAAGAGACTAATTGGTTCAGGGGACAGATAACATAACAGCAATCGGATGAGAGAAGCTCAAAACCATAAGACCAATTAAGATCAGATATCTACGATGGCTGATAAGTTGTGATAACATATGCAGCACTCCCAGTCAACATTCGGCTCCGCATCAGGAGGCACTGTGTCGCACGCTCTGACCATGAACAGGAATATTTGGTCGACTGCCAAATAAGATGTACTGGTCCGAAAGGGCGTGGGTTCAAATCCCACTCTTGCCACCAAAAAAAGGGGGAAAAAAAGATGTACGAAACTACAGAATACTGAGCGACAGCATCGAATCTATCGAGCCACCTATTCCCATCCCCTCCCCTCTTCTGGAACACCCAATTCAACTTCTCCTCTGCACTAACACTCCTAATTTCAGCAAGCCAGAAAAGGTGTGGTTAGATCTGATACGGAAGGCGACGCTCTTCACAGCACCTCCAGTAGTTGTTAAAAGGAAAAAAGTGAATAAAAGGTAATGCTCTGAGGTATCTGGAAGGAGAGATGCAGCATCATGCTCGATGACACAAGGAAAGCAAGAGGAGAGAAGGTCCGAGGCGCGCACCAAGGACTTCATCGAAGTGGAAATTCTCTGGAAATGGCAAAAGGTCAAAGTGTTAATCCAGAGAGCGAAAAAAAAAAAAAAAAAAAAAAAAAAAAAAAAAAAAAAGAGCCCAGAATTAGAGCTACGCCCTTGGTAGGATATAAAAAGCCCAGAATTAGAGCCGACACTGCATGCAAGGTTTTCATCGAGGACTGGTTAGCAAATGGCAAGCTGGTAGCCCTCCAAGGTTCCAAAGTCCAATGGAAGAGCTGACATAACTCCTCCTTTTTTCTTTTTTGGGGGGGGCCGGGGGGGATGGGAGGGGACAGCCACTACGGGCGGTAGAGGTGCTGGTAAGAGCAGACATCACTAGCGTCGCGGCAGAGGGCCCCCAACTCAGAAGCAACAGATACTCATTAGGACAACCATCAGCAGGAACCTCAGGCTCCAATCTGGACTTAAACTACAGAGATGGTCCAGGGATGCTTCAGTCATCAACAGTGATCTTCAACGCTCCCTGTCAGGGGCGGTAGGAAACAATGATCAGAAGAGAGACAGCAAGAGCACGGGACTAAGTCTTCGATCCTTACCATCCACAATTTCTCTAGCTGTTGAACCGACAAATTTGACCAACTTTCTAACCGAGTTTGAGACGAATAGGAGACGGAAAGACAAGCTGGCAGTCAATCCTCCCCTTCGCTGAGCAATCAATGCTGATGAGGAGTCCTTCGACCCAATGGACGGACATGTGAGTGTGTGACCAGTCTGACGATCCCCAGAATGGATTCGGGGACAAGGCCATAAGGACCTGTTTCAATGAAACCACCACTACCTTTTGCAGCTGTAGTTCCATTTGGGAAAATGACCTCATTCGAAACAAATCACCGCCGGGTGGCCACTGCTATTTTTCATCAGCGGCTACTGGCCTCTGAAGCGAGTGGGACCCAACCTGCGGCCGACATATGACAAAGGGTGTGGCGGTTTAAAAGAATGAAGAAAAAAGGATGTGAAATCATGACATGTTTCTCAACAGCTGCACGTGAACCGGCAAAGAGAGAAACGAAATCAAATCAAATGAACTTGACACACGAAATCTCATCAATACCGCAAAAGCGAATCCTCTTCTACATTTTCAAAGATCAGCAACCGGTAAAAATAGTTTATCAAGCTCATTCAGCATCTCCGTCGTAGTCTAGTCTGGTTAGGATACCTGACTCTCACCCAGGCGACCCAGGTTCAAGTCCCGGCAACGGAATTGAAAAGCACTGGTGGTCTAGTGGTAGAATAGCACCCTGCCACGGTGCAGACCCGGGTTCGATTCCCGGCCAGTGCAGTCAATC